GCTGGACTCTGGGAGCTTGAGCAGCCTGTGGGAGTTGGAGCTGTCGATGGAACCTGGCAGGGATGAAAGCTGCTAGCAGCTGAGCTGATGATCAAACCCTCAAAGATTTGGTCTTGAGATGAAAAAGAACTTCAGCTCTCCACATGCTTCGCACCCAGTTTGGGATCTGCTGTTAATGCTGTTTTTCATCTCTGGTAGAGAGGAATGGTTTGGGCTCAGTGTCTAATGAACCATGGCTCCATGTAATTCCTTGTCTTTCATGCTGCTCTTCTGTGTTCTCTAACGCCAGCAGTGCAAACCCTTCAGAGGGATGGAAGGAATTCGCTTTTACGGAGGTGTGCCACAGAGTTTGCTAATATACCTTGCTTGGTGTTTTTTTATTTCAACTAGGGTCCATGTTTTCACAAGCAATGAAGAAATGGGTTCAAGGAAACACAGATGAGGTGTGTCCTGTTTTATGTTGCCCTCGGGATTTACTTTACAGGGTACATTAGGGAAATGAAGTATTGAGGTTTTTAATCCTGGCTGTTTCTCTGAGTATCTTTCTGCTGTACCAACAAGAACTGTTAGACTCTGTGTGCTAAATATAACTTGATTGCATGCATGTGTGAAACTGGTTTGATTTTTGCCAATGCTTTCTGGTTTAACTAATAAAATGGTTAACTATGTGCTTGCAGTCAAGGTTTTTCTCATTACAGTGTTATATATCTACAATTAGGAATGTAGATGCTGTTGCTCTTTGTGTTTTACTGTGAAGTGACTGCTGTATATGGGTTACGGGTTGCATTTTCCCCCTCAGAGAGGGGCTTGGATAAGTCCCCTGCAGATAAGTCTAAAAACTTCATTAACTGTCTTGAAAATAGCATCAAGGTATAAATACTCACGATAATTGAAGTTAATGCTGTACTTGGAAACCAGGTGCATTTCCATCAAGGGAGGATACATTTACTACAAGTCACGGAGGTGTGAAGGTTTAACCGCATCTCCAGGGTTGAGGGTGTGAATTATGCCGAGAGGACTGTATTTTTATTTTAAGAACTTGAAGCTATCTATTTTTGGGATGTTTTTTCTACGGCAGGCTCAAGAAGAGATGGCTTGGAGGATAGCAAAGATGATAGTCAATGACGTTATGCAGCAGGCGCAATGTGAACAGCCTTCGGAGAAGGTTACGAAGGTGAGGGGGTGGAAAGGCTGCCTGTCTTTATCTGATTTAAGCCAGACTGTGGGAGGAGGAGAGCTCTCGCTTGCCTTCCTAGTGCATCTGAAACCCACACTGGTAAATGTTCAAACTAGCGTGGCATGATAGGAAGAAACAAAGGTTGGAAGTGTTTCAGCCTACATATGATGTAGGAATTTCTTAACAGACATCTGTAATGGTTCTCCTGTGCAAGCTTTAAAGTTGTCTTTGTTCATTTTGAGTCTTTGCAAACTGCCTTGTTAGTTAAAAGGGTGAGTTGAGTTGCAGGATCAATACTGTAATTCCTTATTCGAATTCACACTTGCTGTTTCGTGTTAATGAACACTGGTATTTTTGCCTAAAGTGTCAGTAAAACTCAGCAGGGGGAACGTTGTCTTGTTAGCTGCACTAATTTATGCAGTGCTGTGTCTAACACTTTTTAAAGAAGATGCAGTAGCCCTGTCCATAGGCAAGCGGTTCAGTGTTGTATATTGTTGTTTAGTGACTTTGTCATCATAGAAGTCCACATCTTCTCTGTTTAAAAAAAAAAAAAGTTCTGATGCATAAGATTTTGCGAAATAATAACAACAATTTACAGAGTTAATATCTGGTACTTCTGGCTTTCATGCATCTGACTTTTTAAAAACTTAACTTACAGTAGTTTTAATTATTGGAAGAATAACATGTGCCAAAGCCTAGTTATCAGACCCACACAGATGGATCCATAGTTTCACTATATGCCTGGGGTTTTTTTGAGTAGAGCAGTTATATTTAAATGACTTGTATAATGATTCCACTTCGTAGCTTGGCTAGAAGTGATCTAATTCCAGTCTGTCTAGATGAAAAGGTCACTCAGCACAGTATTTAGAAATATCAAGTGGCTGCAGATGCTCTGGATTCAATTAGGCAAGTATGGTTACAGTAATCAGAAGGTTGAGTGTGTTGTGGGATTGGTTGTGGTTTTCTTCTCTCCCACACACATAAACATACCTGGGTTCAACACTTTTAAACATGGAATGTCTTTCTATTGAGCGACTGCCTTGTAAGTTTTAAGGTAAAATGAACTCTAACCCTGTTTTTCCTTTTCCAGCTATGATTTTAGAAGTGCCAGAACAGGAAATCTGGTTTTCCGCTTCGAGATTGAGTGAACTTTCCCTTTTGGTGGATTCTTTAACACAGCCAATAAAAAACAAAGTACTGTTACTCCAACTGCTGAAATCTCCCTCGTTTATAAGGAAGAATTAAAATGAAGCAATCCTGTACCTCCACTGTAGAGCGTGAAGAAACACTTTTTCCTGTTGTATGTGGCATTCACAATAACGATGGTTTTTAAAGAGATGAAGACGCAGCTTATGAATGTGTCACTGAGAAACTGTGATCAACTTCACAAATACTTGACCCTGTCTCAAAAAGACTTAAGCAAAATATCTGGAATGGGACACAAGCCACAACAGAGGGGAAGGTTTTGCTGTAGTTTCTAGTTCTACTACTTGTAATTTTTAAACACATAATTGGAAAGGCCGTGGGGTGTGTCCCCAGCATTGGCCACTGGAGAAGTGAACCTGAAACAGTGAATTCATTGGCAGTGAATGACCTAAAAAGTTTGAAGTTTTATTTTTCCTTACTTGAAATAGATGCGTATTCAACTGTAAGATAAATGTATTTTACTTCATAACGACATTAACTTCGAAGGCAGCGTAGAATGATTGGGAACGAAGTCTGGACAGTGTAACTCTTCCTTGTCGAGCTCGTACACCTGCAGACACAAATCCCCTGCCTCTAACTCAGAGCAGACTCAAAAGCCAGTCTTGCACTTGTGTAACCCTCTGCTCCCGAGCCACGGCTCCCAGCACAGCCCACGGTTTGAGGAGATTGTACCCTGTAGACTGCTCCATTTTCTTTTCCCTCCATCCCATGAGCAAGGAAAAAAGTAATTACTGCCATTCTCCATAGCTTGTTGTCCTCCAGCCAACATAGTATCTAATTCCAGATGTTTGGTTTACAAAGAAAAACAATTTTTAGCAACATCTGGCCTTCTCCCTGATGTTGTCAACACTTACAACTTGCAAAACCTTTAGTTTAGGTAAAAAAGCCACCGTGTTACACAGCACCTCTATCTTTTTTCCTGCCCCCCTGGTGAATTGGTTTTGCAGGGTATCAGAAGTACTCAGTGTCTCACTGTTATGTTATTGCTGCATTTTTAGTATACAACACTTTTTGGGGTTTTTTTTGTTTTATGATTGCTTTTTTTTCCTCAAACTTTGCAAAGAACTTGAATCATCTCCAATGTTCAGAATTTCTTGATTGACTAGCAAGTGTTATTCTGTTGCAATATTTGATTGTATAGAGACACTATATTGTCTAAAAAAGCAAAAAAGGCTGTGTATAGGTTTTTGGTACTATGTACCACCTCTTATTTCTCTCATGCCCAAGTATTCATGTACTTAAAACATACTATATTTAATTGTGTTTTGATTTAAAATATATAAATATTAAAATTTGTGTCAATTTTCTGTTGTGATGGGATTTGACTTTAAATGTTGTTTTTAAGTGTGAGTCTTAGGGGTTTATAAAAAGAAACAACCCCCCTGAACAGTTTATCCTTGATATATTTGCACATATTTCTTAGTATTGAAGGGATTATATTAATGGCATTGTGGTGAAATAATAATTTCTTTCTAAATAGTAAATAAGGTGTTTTGATCACAGGATGTATCCAAGGGGCCGGGCTTGGTCCTGTAGTGCTGTGTTGAGCCACGTCTGCAGACTTGAGTGCTCTGCTGTGTGGGAAAACTAAACCTTCATGGCAACATTTATTTTTCCACCTTCACAGGATCCAAACTAACCAGCTGAGTGTGTTTAGGGACTACAGGCCCCAGGTTTGAGGTCAAATATTGCTCAGGGCTGTGCTTCCTTCGGCTGCTGCGCTGCCTGGGGTGGATGTGGCCAGAGCAAGGGTGAGAGGCTCGGCTTATCTTGAGTCGGCTCTGTAGTAAACACTTGTAGTGCTGCAGCTCCTGGAGACTGGTAAGAAAAATATCCATCAAACAAAGAAGGGAGAAATCCCTGCCCGGCTCCACCTTGTTTGCGGGCTCTCTCTGAGGGGACAGCAGTTGTGCCGGGGGCTGCTGCCGACTGGCCAAGGCCTGCGTGGGGCAACTTCTCAAAGCTGCTTCACTCGGATGGTGGCCAACGGGTAAAGCAAGGCTTGGTTGATTTGGACTCACGTGGCAGTTTTTCCTCTTCTCTCCATAAGCGGTGTTTAGATTGGATGGAGCGTTGATCTCTGAGGTTGGGGATGTCTGATGCTCACCGGTGGTGTTACTGGTTTGTGCTGGAGGGGAGGGCTGGTGTTAAATTATTCTCTTTTACAGGTTTGTGTGGCAGATTTGAGTCTCCCTTAGTGCAGGATCTCCCTCAGCTCCCTGCCTCCTCTCCAGCCCAAGGAGACGCTTTATAAGGTGAATAATCCACGTTCGATTGCAGCCCCATCCCCTCTCCTTTACCCCGACGGCTTTACACACGTGACAAGGGCAGGCTGCGATGTTTTGGGTTTTTTTTAATTGGAATGGCGTATTTGGGATGTTTTTTTTCCTGGTTCTGCTGCTTTGTATTTTAGAAACGCAATAAACGGAGAACGCCCCGGAGCGGCCTCCAGTCGCCCCCTCCCTGTCCCCGGTCGGAAGGCGCTCACCGCAGCCTCGAACCCTGTCTCT